AATAACAAGCAAGTTTTATTCAAATTCGAATTAAACTCGAATTAAGCTTAAACAAAACAAATAAACATATTCAAATCACTAAACTTCAAATAATCAATTGATCTTTTTAAATTAAATCCAACAAAATTATAACAAAGATACATTGAATCAAAAAATTAAAAACCAAAACATAACTTCACATTAAATCACTGAATTAAAAACGAACTTCAAACAAAATGAACACGAATTAAATCTATATTAAAACGACAAACAACGGATTCAAATGATTTAAACAACATTAACAATTTCTGAAAAAAATACATAACAACACATGATACAAACTGAAGAAATAATTAATTAAACTTCAATTAGAATCTAACGACATTAAACTAACAATTTCACATGAACAAACTGAAAAATTAACAAAACAATGAACACGAACAAAATAAAAATCAAACATTTACCAATTTTAGATTCGAGAATATCAAAAACAAAATACGGATAAAAATGAAACTCAGACCCACTAACCGGATTGAAACCACTAACAATGACTGACCAACGATGAACTCGAACTGTGTATGGACTGTTTCGACAAACTCCGACCAAAGTGAAGCAGCGACGAGCTACTGTGACGGAGAAGTCGAAGAAGAAAGCAGCGTTTGGACTGTTGTTCGCTGGACGAAGCAGCAAGCGACGGGGAGAGGCAGCAGCTATGGTGGCCTGGTATGGGTGGTTGGGAGCAGCTGCTCGACGTCTTGGCTTGGTCGTAGCAGAAGTAGCAGGAAGCAGAAGCAGGAGCAGCTTTCGAGGAGAAGAATGAAGAAGACGTAGCAACGGTCGAGGTGAAGCAGAAGAAGCAACAACGACGAGCTTGCAACTCGTCCATGGTCAACAGCGACGGGCTGGAAGTTTAGGTGGTCGTCCGACATGGTCGTGGTGGACGTGAGGACTGTGGTTGTTTAGTTTTGCTGGAGGGGTCGTTTGAGAAGGTGAAGCAGCAGTGATGGCTTCTTGAGACGCGGCGACGATGTTCGTTGACGGGCTGCTTCAAGTGGTCGACGTAGCTGTTCGTCGTCGATGACTGGAGATCGACGGATGGTGGTGCGATGAAGACGACGCAG